GTGTGTGTGTGTATACCATACATAATTGTTCATGCACTTTTTCCCTTGTTTTGTTGTTTCAGATACATTTTTTTCATGTGTCGTTGTCCCACTGAAATATCAGTCTATTTTTTTTCATCTGATCTTTATGGTTGAAACAATGGCATGTGATATGACAATAATAATGATGATTATTTTGATTATTCTCTCTAAAGGTCTGCAGGGGGCGACTCCTCTGATAGTAAAAAGAATGTAAGACTAAGTAATTGACCTCTGGGCTTATTTATTTAAATGCATTCATTCATTTCTATGATCTCAGAAAACGCTTTCCTGTTGAGTTGGCAGCATGTAGCAGCAGGTCTTAATTAAATACATTTTGTCAAATCCGGCCTCATTAGAGTTACAAGGGATGATAAAGCTGGGCCTGTTTTATGTTGGAGTTACCTTGTGAGTGAAAAGTCGCTGCTTTACATACTGACCCTCAGTTTTTAAGAACCACGCCTCAATCATCATCAAGTAGAAAGCTACAGCCTAAGGCTGCAAGATGTCATCGAAATATGGGTGACATTACAGTGGCCATATCCATGTTTGACATGCAGTCTAAGGTACTTAATCAAACACATTTAACCTCCTAAGACCCGAACTCTTTCATGGCATGCATTTTTTTTTTTTTTGCTATTTGGGCTGATTGGGACCTGATAAATGTAAAAACAAAGAATTTTGTGTTTTGTTTTGTTTGTTTTTTCCTGATTGTTGTTTCTAAGAAAAATGAGATCCATATGAGGATATTTGCTTTATACTGCCACTATCCTATTGAATTTTAATGTCCTTATAAGTGGTTATCAGGCCCTTGTAGAGCAAAACTTTGTATTTTGGTCTAGACAACCAAAAATGTTTTGGTTTTTTTGGGGGTTTTTTTTTAACTATAGAGCATTATGTTTTCAGGTTGTCTACCAACATGAAATGAAAAGTGATTAAAATAAATAAATAAACGTCACTGTGGCCTAAACAAACATACACACAGTTCAGAAATAATAAGCTAATACACAAGTCACTCAAGATCAGTTCATGAAGCGATTAAAAGTTATAACAGAGATGATACAAGGAGGGGACGTCATAAATAAATCTAAGATTTAAGATTCTTGACTCAGGATTTAAGAATCCTAAATTAAAAACTATGGAAAATGCAGTAATAACATAGGTGGTGGTACTTTTAGACTTTTGATCAGATTTAACTGATGTTTTGTTAGAAAGATTCTCTTATCAATTGTGACACAGAGACCAGTACACATTTTAATGCAAAGAATATGATTGTATGCAGGTTTTACACTCTGGTGACAATTTATAGTTAGTTTAGATAAATCTTCAAAATTACTTTGCAAATAATAGGTGTTTATGATCACTTCTCAGTTGTATGACTTGCTTGTAGAAGGACAATGTCTAAAATCAGTGACTTTTTCACAATGTCCTACCCGTATAGATAATTCTTTGTAGTGGACTATAAAATGAGCTCAAGGTTATCATTAACCAAACCAAAAACTAGGTGTGGCAGATGATTTTAGATGACTGAAACGGAAATAAAAACAAGACTTTAAAAAAAAAAAAAGAACACGCTGAAATATTTTGTAAAGGGGCAAAACTAACTAAAAGAAAATATTCAGCAAATGTGGATTTGGGATATTTACATGATAAACATCCCGAATCCCAAATTATAATATTTTAAAAAAAGGTTAAAACCAATGTTTAAAATAACAAAAACAAATCTAAAACTGGACATTTTCAAATAATAAATGTAAACTGAAAGGTGCAAACCCATATTGGAAGCCGACTGAAACTAAACTAAAGTGAAAATGA